TAATTATTTAGTTGTTAAAATTAAAATAAAATTTTATTTCTTTATATAATTTAATAAAAAAATACATTAATTACTTATTTAACTTATATAGTAAAAAGCAACCGTTTAGAAAAATCCTATAATAAAATACAGGTTAACCCCATGAAGTGCGGGTTGAGTTAACCTGTGCAAGTTAGAACGTTCTAACTTATAGTAAACTTTTAACAAAAGGAACAAATTTATATGTCGCAGTAAAAAAATGTCTGCTCCCTAAAATTTTTGTCAACCTTCGTTCTTGCCTTGAAGAATATTATGCCAAGCAAAATATAAGAACATCATGTCAATCGTGATGATGAAAATGATGATCATGGTGATGACAACGATGATCATGATAAGAACAGTAACCCTGATAACAATAATTATGATAGCGAAGCCAGTTATAACGAATATGTTAAGGATGGTGAAAATAATGAAGATGAACAAACTTTGTACTGAGTCTAATTACCCGACGGTACCCTCACGGCAATGCTGACTGCAACGAATATGTTAAGGATGATGAAAATGATGAAGATGAACAAACTTTGGACTGAGTCTAATTACCCGACAGTACCCTCACGGCAATGCTGACTGCAACGAATATGTTAAGGATGGTGAAATGGATGACGATGAACAAACTTTGGACTGAGTCTAATTACCCGACAGTACCCTCACGGCCATGCTGACTGCAACGAATATGTTAAGGATGGTGAAAATGATGACGGTGAACAAACTTTGGAATGTGTCTAATTACCCGGTAATACCCTCACGGCAATGCTGACTGCAACGCGCTAATGGGAGTCAATTTTAACAAATCAAAATCTGACACATTAGGCACGTAATTCTCGTTTAAGGGAGAGGAGAGACTTTCCTAGCATGCAGTTGGATGCTTCCAAGGGATTTCATGTGAGGTCTCCAAAGAAGCATTCTTTTTTTATATTTTTCTCTCTTCTTATGTTTCAGGTCTAGTATTGTTGCTTTGATGACCATTATACACATTAAAAAATAGATGTTGCCAAGAAAAACGAAGGCAAATTCAAGTGATGATCAATTTTCAGTTCTGTTTTTTTAAAAAATATATTGAAGTGACATTTAAAGGGACTTTAATGTCAATTGCATTAAAGTAGCGGGGTTATTGATCCAGGCGTCATAGAATTCAACCAAAGACTTGCAGGTCTTCGCCTCACTTTTTCTCAATGAAATTTCTTCCACATAGCATATTTCACTTCCTTACAATCAGTCTCACCATTGACTTCTACCATAGAATAGTCCTACCATGTGATAAACGTCGATCGCCCATTCTATTCCCTGATTTTTAAACAATCTCCGAATTATCCAGAATGCCACTAATTAAAGACAGGTCTCAGGGTACAGGACTTCTCTGCTTCAAAATGAATCCACTGTCACTCACCACTTTCCTCATCTTTCTCCTACATGTCCTCCTGTTGTCCACCATAGCCACACCTTACAACGCCACTGACATCATAATCCTCAACTGCGGTGCAACTTCAACAACTACATCATTGGATGGCCGCAAATGGGAACCTGATCTCTTTATATATTCCCCTTTCAATGACCAAAACGCTCTTTCCTTCGAACGCCTCCAGCGAACAACCCTCTGTTCCCATGGTTCCCTACTTCTCTGGACGTATTATTTTTAAGGAGCTAATTAATTAAATTAAATTGCCTATTTTCCCATTCTTTAATCACCAAACCGTAACTTCTAATTGGCAAAAGACATTTTAAGTCTTTACAAATCCCTTTGACGCATCCTATACTTCAGTTTCTATCAGTTTCACCATTGCTCTCTACTGTAGAACTGATCAATTTTATCCTCAGTTTCACCCTTGCCCTCTACTGTAGAACTTATCAATTTTATTATGAGAAGGCTGCAATTAAAGCTGACCGGATTTCCTCAAGTAATATTGAATCCCAAAAATGCTGACTCTCATCATCTTCTTCCTCTCACTCCTCCATGTCCTCATCCCGACCACCACCTCCTCCCCTACAACGCCACTGACTTCATCCTCAATCGTGAAGACTTTCCTAGCATGAAGTTGGATGCTTCCCAGGGATTTTTCAAGTGAAGTCTCATAACTACTGAATCACAAACATTTTATTTGGCTTTTCTAAAGTTTTGTTGCTTTGATGGCCATCACACTCATTGATCCAGGACTCATAGATTTCAGCCAAAGACTTGCAGGCCTTCGCCACTCTTTTCCCCATGAATTTTCGTCCATAGATCATATATCCAAATTCACTTCCTTTCAATCAGTCTCACCATACAGTGTTCTACGGTGGAAAAGTCTTACTATGTCTTCCTTTAAAGATGGGTTTTAGATTATACCAGTACAGGTATTACCATGCTTTACAAAATGATTCCGCTGTCTCTCACCACTTTCCTCATCTCTCTCCTCCATGCCCTCCTCCTATCTGCAGCTGTGGCTGCTTACAACGCCACTGACATCATACTTCTAGACTGTGGTGCAACTTCAAACACTACCTCATTGGATGGCCGCAACTGGGAGGCTGATACTAATTCTAAATATTCGTCATTCAATGACCCAAATGCATCGTTTTCTTCATATGCCTCCCGCCAAGTCCCTTATGTTCCCCTAGTTCCCTATCGCTCCGCACTTATCATTCACTCTCAGTTCACCTTTAACTTCCCTGTACTACCCGGTCCAAAATTCCTCCGTCTCTACTTCTACCCAGAAACATACTCTGGTCTAGACATAGCTACATCCTTTTTCTCCATCACTGCCAACAGTTACACCCTTTTGAATAATTTCAGTGCTTCTTTGACGATTCCAACCATGGTTCCTCCTGCAGCCTCCTTGATTAAAGAGTATGTTGTCATAGTGTGGGACAGCCAGATGCTTAATGTAACCTTTATCCCATCACCAGGCTCTTTCGCTTTCATTAATGCCATTGAAATTGTTTCCATGCCAAGCCTTCTATATGCACGCGGTAGTGAATTCCCACTTGTGCCTTTAGAGGGTGGCCGATCCTTCCCTTTGGATAACACCACTGCTCTCGAGACTATGTACCGTCTCAATGTTGGTGGAAAGCAAATTGAGAGCAAGGATGATACTGGAATGTACCGGACATGGAGTCAAGATGGGGAGTATTTGGTTGCATCAAAGTGGGTTACTGTCTATAATTTATCTAATGCAGTGATTAAATATACCCCAGACACGCCAGAGTATATTGCACCGAAAGAGGTTTACACTACGTTTCGTATCATGGGCTATGATTCCTGGATTAATATGAAAGCCAACATGACCTGGAACTTCATCGTTGATGCAGGGTTCTTCTACCTCGTCAGGCTTCATTTCTGTGAGCTTCTAGCTCAAGTCACTAAGCGAAATCAACATATTTTCAGCGTACTCATCAATAAACAAATGGCGGACGTTTATTTTGTGGACGGCCGCTCTGGGATTCCGATTCATAAAGATTATATCATTTTGGTTGGGAACGGGGCCAAAGCGAAAGAGCTCCGACTAGATTTGCATCCTGATACTATTGATCAATCGTTGTATGCCGATGCTTTCTTGAACGGCTTAGAGATTTTCAAATTGATTCGAACTGATGGTAGCCTAGCAGGGTCAAATCCTGATCTAATCCCCAGTCCTCAACCACCGAAGCCATTGCATGAAAGTTCAAAAAGCGATAAAAAATCAACAATTTTGCCAATCATTGGAGCTATTCTCGGTGGTTTTGCTATGGTTTCCCTCCTCGTGAGCTTTTTCGTTTTTCAAAGACAAAGAAAACTGAAAAACTCGCTCTCTTTCACATCAAAGTTCTTTACCACAAAAACTTCCTCCTCGTTACCGTCTGATATCTGTTGTCACTTCTCAATTGCCGAGATCAAAGCAGCCACTCAAGATTTCGACGATACGCTTCTAATCGGAAGTGGAGGATTTGGAAACATTTACAGAGGGATTATCAATGGTGGGACCACCATTTCTGCAATCAAACGGTTAAATCCTTCATCAAGGCAAGGGGCCCACGAGTTCCACACCGAAATTGCCATGCTTTCAAAGCTTCGACACAGGCATCTTGTTTCTCTGATTGGATACTGTGAGGATCAGGGTAAGATGATCCTAGTGTACGATTACATGGCACGTAGCACACTTCGTGATCATCTCGACAAAACCAAGAATCTGCCATTATCATGGAAACAGCGACTAAAGATCTGCATTGGGGTGGCGCGTGGGTTGCACTATCTCCATAGAGAGGCAAAGGAGGTTATCATCCACCGAGATGTGAAATCATCAAATATATTATTGGACGAAAATTACGTGGGAAAGGTGTCAGATTTGGTTTGTCGAAACTGGGTCCCACAAGCACGTCTGAGACCCATGTCAGCACCGTGGTGAAGGGTAGTTTCGGGTATATAGACCCAGAATATTATCGCTTGCAGCGGCTAACAGAAAAATCTGACGTGTACTCTTTTGGCGTGGTCTTATTTGAGGTGCTGAGCGACAAGCCACCGGTCTTCCAAAGCCTTTCAGAGGAGAAAGTGGGCCTGGCCCAATGGGCCAGCAGTTGTTGTCAAAAAGAAAGCCTTGATGAAATCGTGGACCCATATTTGGCAGGTCAGATTGCGCCGGTGGCCTTGCAAAAGTTCAGTGAGGTCGCGGAGAGTTGTGTTTGTGAACGTGGAGATGAACGTCCGACAATGAGGGATATCGTGTGGGCATTGGAGTTTACATTGCAACTTCAGGAAACCGTAGAAGAAAACACGAACGATAGTGATGCTATCATCACCGATGAGCGTTCAAGTGAAAACATGGTAAAATCTCAATCCACATCAATCCACGGTTAATAGTTAATTCAGAAATTAGGAAACAGAATTTCATAATAGTTACTGGTATAATTTTTGCTCAATTACTAGTAGATTAAGAAATACCTATTAGTAAATGATTTGTTAAATTTAGCTGAATGTGTGATTAGTTGTGTAAGTGAGAGTGCATAAAACTATTGCTTGTTGATTGTGTGATTGGTGTTGGCAGTTGGTGTCATTGTGTGTGTGATTGGAATTTGAGCACCTAGCTAATAGTCTTGGTCTTTCTCCACCATTTTTTTTCTTTCTTCGGTTTGCATAGGTCTTTTCAAATGACAAAATTATATTAAATTATAAAATAAAAATTATTAAAATATGAAATAATTTTAATATTAAAAGTTTATTTTATTTAATAATTTAATTATATAACTGATAAATCTTTTATTTCTAGATCTTACAATATTTGTTTCAAGAGTTCATGAAAAATGAATAAAATCAATTTGAAGAAATAATTTGTAGCGAAATTTTGACTTAAGAAAGATCCAATTGCTCAAAGTTTTAGAGAACAAAAAATGAACAAAATCAATTTGTATAAATTTACCACCCATAAGAAGGTGAAAGTAGGAGTATGATGGCACATCGGTCACCACTGCGCCCAAATCTCACTCGAACTAATCCAAGGGCTATTAGTAATATGTTTCCAAAACAGCAAAAATAAAAAAATCAATAACCTGGGTGAGTCCCAAAAAACCTTAAGTTACTATTGAGTATGTAAGATAAAACTAGAAAAAGCGAACTAGCTAGAGGGGGATTAACCCTTTATGAAAAACCCTCATGAAAACTCATCAACCTTTCTACCTTTCTGCTGTTGTCAAAAATCTCCCCAGTCATATCCACCTCCTTATTAAGGCCTTTGTACTTACCAATCACATCCCAAAACCGTGTTTGACCACTATTACCAGCCCCCATTGTTGTCTCATTCAACACCAGTGCTTGCCTCTTCGCCATGGATGGCCTCAATCGACTCTTTATAGCCTCCCCGAAATCAACAAGCAAAAGAAAAGAGTAAAGAGCAGCAATTAAGGGCCCAAGTCCCAACTCCACAAATGTGTGAAAAGGAAAGGTCTCGAGCCCCTCAAGAGATTTCAACGGCACACTCTCAAAACAAGAGAATGAAACCCTAACACGAGGGATTAAAATAAAAAAAGATATAGGATTAAAGAAATTTAATAGAGGAAAAAAAGGAACAAATCAATGAAAAGCAAAAGAGAGAGACGAGAGAAGGAGAAGAAAAAAAATGCAACAGCAGACTCCCAAGAATCGTTCTTATTGGTAAGAGTATACACAATCTTTTTTAGCCAGTAGGAATGAAAAAAACAGAGAGAGACAACATTGTTAGTTCTTTTTGCGAAATAAAACAACCAATATATGCAAATGGGTAAAGTGAGTCGAGAATTAGTTTGTTGCCAATCTTAAAAAATATTGAGACATCAATACAGCTTAATAACTAACACTTCAAAACATGAGATACAGTGATTTTTGATACAAAACTTTTCTACTCTATTTGAGCAGAGCAATTTTAACATTAAATTTCTCCCTTAATTGTCATCACCAAATAGCAGTCTGCTTGTATCCTTCTCCAAGATCTTGGTTTCGGAGCTCAAATGACCTACAGTAATGCTACATGTAGTATCACCCATTGATTGTTGAGATTTTGCCGCGTTCTCACTTGAAACACTAGAGAGCTCATCGTCGGTGGTGGTCACATCACTGCCGCTCATTTTCTTACCCATGGTTTCTTGTAGTTGCAACGTGAACTCCAGGGCCCACACGATATCACTCATCGTGGGTCGTTGCACTCCTTTAGCACGTACACAATTTTCAGCAACCTCACCGAACTTTTGCCAGGCCATCGGTGTAATCTGGCCCGTCAGATATGGGTCGATAATCTGATCAAGGGTTCCATTTAGGTAACAGAGCTTGGTCCACTCACTTTCTCCTTCGATAGGCCCTGGATCATTGGGGGCATAGCGCACAACACCGCAAATAAGACCACGCCGAAAGAGTACACAGATTTTTCGGCCAAATGCTGCCCGAGATAATACTCTGGGTCTTAAGTACCCGACACTACCCAGCACAGTGCTGACATGGGTCCCCAATGAGTTAGTGGGACCCAGTTTCGACAAACCAAAATCTGACACTTTGGCCACGTGATTCTCGTCCAACTGTGTATTCGAAGATTTCACATAACGGTGGATAATACTATGCTTCGCCTCTCTATGGAGATAGTGCAACCAACGCGCCGCCCCTATGCAGATCTCTAGCCGTTGTTTCCAATATAACGGCCGATTCTCAGTTTTGTAGAGATGTTCACAGAGTGTGCCATGTGGCATGTATTCGTATACCAGGATCATCTCGCCGTGATCATCACAGTATCCAATCAAAGAAACAAGATGCATTTGTCGAAGGTTTGAGGGCATGGTGATTTCGGTGTGGAACTCGTGGCATCCTTGCCTTGATGAAGGGTTTAACCGTTTAATTGCAACGGTGGTGGTCTCACCATCTATAATCCCTCTATAAACGTTCCCGAATCCACCATATCCAATCAAAAACCGATCGTTAAAATCTTGAGTGGTGGCTTTGATCTCAGTGATTGAGAAGTGACGGTAAAGATCAGAAGGTAGTAAGGAGGAGGTTTTTGTGGTGGACAACTTTGATGTGTCCTTCAGTTTTCTTTGTCTCTGAAAAACAAAAAAGCTCAAGACGAGAGTGTTATACCCTAAATCAAGTCCTATGATAATTAGGACACGTGTGGATACATCCTAGAGATAGTCCTATTAAAGTAGAATAGGATCATTCCCGCTAAAATAAGAAAACCCAAACACCAATTAAATAAAATTGTATTCCTAGAATAAATGTAATTAGATACCCTATAAATACCTCTAGGATCAACCTAAGGAGATAGATTATTTATCATCATCATTCTCTCTTCATTGTAAACTCTCTCTATCAACAAAAATCTTGGTTCCACAACATCTATTCTATTTTTTACTGTTAACATTTGGCGCCCACCGTGGGACCGAGTTCTTTTTGATCCACGAATATCGCATGGAAAATTCAGAAAATTCATTGCCTCCTAGCAGAAGCACCCCAGGTTCCAGAAGCAAAGCCAGAATGAGCAACTCCTCTTCATCAAGCACGAATCCAAGAGATACTGTCAACAAAGCCAAACCATCAGACTTAACGGTAGCATCACAAATACAGAAACTTACACAAGGCAAAGTTTAAAAGCAATCGAGCAAGCCATAGCATCCATGACGAAGGCTACTAACACCTCGTCACAAGAAACCAAACGAGAACGATTATCACAAAGTGACGCTAGGACACTTGAAGGGAAGGAGCAAGATTCAGCACGAGGAAACAGCAATCAAGATGAAAGTTACGTATGTTCAAAATCGACAGAGTTGACAATCGACACGAGCTTACAACCATCCTCAGCTTTCACTCAATACAATTTTCGGAGTAAAAACATGATATCTCGTACACATTCAAACCAAAGGAAGGCTAGCCAACAAATCCAAGAAGCCACATTCATGGCAGCAAGTCCACAAAAGACAAAAACATAGGTTCATGATGACGGTGTTTACAAAGAAATTGAGGTGTTGTGACAACATCTAGCAAAAATAGAAGCAGGCAGGTAGAGGTATGCAGAACCAGCACACACAGCTTCAGTAGAAAAAGCCTTTATAGACGACATCATCAGGGAACCTGTGCCATCAAACTTCAAAACTTCGCAGCTAGCTGAGTACGATGGAACTCAAGACCCAGTGGAGCACGTGCAAGGATATAGAATGGCAATGATGGTATATGGAGCCTCAAATGCTCTATTATGCAAGTAGTTCCCAACAACTTTCAAGAAAGCTGTGCAGGCTTGATTCGCAACATTACCAGAAAAATCTATCTAGACCTTTGATCAATTTTCGAATATGTTCATCAATCACTTCACTGCTAGTAGAGCTCTTCGAAAGACCAACCATCATCTCTTAACAATTAAACAAAAAACAGGAGAGTCACTAAGAGCCTACATAGCAAGATTTCACAATGAAGCTATGCAAGTAGAAAGATTGGACCAAAGGATGACAATGCATGCTCTAATGGATGGACTCAAAGACTCAAGTTTCTATAGATCTCTGAACAAACGAGAGCCCACCAGCCTTAATGATCTCTTAAGAAGGCTGGAAGGATACATTAGAGCAGAAGAAAGGGCAGCAATAAAAGAGGCACAAGAAGCATCAAATTCAAAAGAAGGAAGAAAGCGGAAAATAGAAAAAGATATAGATAAGAAAAGTACCAAAGACAGAAAATAGTCAAGATACAACTTGAGGGATAGACACCCTAGGACACAAAGAGAATTTGTGGGATACACAACACTCACACCTTTAAACACCAGCAGGATAGAGATCTTCAACGTAGCAAAGAAAACAGAGAAGCTGCAATGGCCGGCTAGAATGGCGAGTAACCTGATGAGCTAAATTTATATATATATTAATAGGGAATTTTTACTTTGATATTATTGATATTTGGATGAGTTTTATGGGATTTTTTTTTTTATTTTACATGGTTTTCATTCTTTATGTAGGAAAGAATTTAATTGGAAGAAATCCTACTTTTTAGAAGTAAATTGAAGAGATCAAAGACTTGAGGATCAACTTGTGCAGAATCCAAAAGTCAGGAACCAAATCTGTTATTTTACCATTGAAGAAATTGCAAAAGGAGACTAGAAACCGGACACGGGTGTATTGTCGACACATGATCGGAGTATCGACACCATGCATTAAACGTCCAGAATCAGATTCTGTTTCCTATTTTGTGTCAACACATAATCCGAAGTGTCAGTACCACGCGATCAGCATCCAAAATTTAGTTTCCTACTTCTGTTCCAAGTCCTACTTCTATTTTAATTAGGGTTTCTAAAATCCTATAAATACCCATCCAAATTCAGAATTGAAGAGAGTTTTGAAAGGCTAGTGGCAGCCCTCTTTTGGGCACTTTTGGAGGTCAAGATAGAAGATCCATCAATGAGAAGATTAAAGATTTCAATTACCTCAAATTAGGTTTTATTTTTCCTTAGACATTCTTATACTCATAATTGTGATTTTAGATTTTATTATTTTTATTATGAACTGATTTATTCTATTAAGGTTACGATGTAGCCTAATCAATTCAATATAGATTTTGTGATTTTATATTTTCAATTAAAATTATTTGCATGAGGAGTTTATATTATTGAACTTAATGCATTGGAAGCCTGATCACCTTTCGATTAATTTAGTGATTTACACATGAACTTGAGAAAGAATTGCGTAGAATAGACCAATAATAATATAAACCGTATGCTAGACTATGAGACCGAGAGGTAATTAGCTCACATGTGATAGTGGAGGAAGAGAAGAGAGTTAGGAGCTCCCCCTTCTTAAGTTAAAGGTTTCCATAGAATTTAATGCTCATTAGTTTGTTTAAAATTACATAGAGATATGATTAATTTAACAAACCAATGAAGAATTAACTTAACTTGAGAAAGCTAGTTAATTAATTTAAGGAAATACGCCATCACATGCAATAACACTCAATAAATTGGTTTTGAAAATATATTAATCCAGAATTTATATTGATTGATTATAGTGAAATCAATGTCTTAGTACCTCCTATCTTGATTAGATTTATTTGTTATTTTCTTTTAATTATTTTCAATTAAACTTTCTTCCCATTTGGTTGTTCAAATAAATTTGGATTAATTATTTTGGTACTTAGTTAGACACAATCCTCGTGGGTTTGACATTCTTCTCATCATTATATTACTTGGAGCGATTAGTCCACTTGCTAGGGTGATTTTAGTGCATCAGGTTTTTGGCGCCGTTGCCGGGGACTAGTCATCTACATATTAAGATTAATAATTTGGCCTTACATTGGATTTTTTTTTTCTTTTTCTTTATTGATTAGTTGTTTTTTATTGTTTTTATTCTTAATTTATCTTAGTTTTATTTTTTACTTTTTTATTTTTTTTAGGATATTAGTGCATGACCCGTAGTAGTGGTGGTGATCTTGTTCCATTTGAACAAGAAATTGAGAGAACTTTTAGAGAGTTCTTAAGAGAGCAAAAGCAAAACATTATGGCAGAAGAAGGTGAAGGACAAAATAATGCACGCACTCTTGGGTTATATGCTACCCCATCCCTTGAAGGAATAGCATCCAGCATTAGGAGGCCAGCGATTCAAGCCAATAACTTTGAAATCAAACCAGCTATCATTCAAATGATCCAACAAACTGTCCAATTCAGTGGTTTGCCTAATGAAAATCCTTTTTTGCATATTGCTAGTTTTCTTGAAATTTGCAATACTTTTAAGGCTAATGGTGTTAGTAATGATTCTGTTAGGCTTACATTATTTCCATTTTCTTTGCGTGATAAAGCCAAGAGTTGGCTTCAATCTTTTCCTGCAGATCATTTTACCATATGGAATGTTTTGATAGATAAATTCATAGCTAAATTTTCTCCTCCTTCAAAAACAGCTAAGTTGAGAAATGACATTACTACTTTTGTTCAATTTGATAATGAGTCATTATATGAGGCATGGGAAAGATTTAAGGAATTGCTTAGGCAATGTCCAAACCATGGTTTACCTGTTTGGCTCCAAGTGCAGACTTTTTATAATGGTATGACTACTCCTAATCGTTCTATAATTGATGCAGTTGCAGGGGGTAATCTTATGAATAAGACAGAGGAGGATGGTTATAAGCTGTTAGATGAAATGGCCTCTAATAGCTATCAATGGACTAATGATA